TAACATGCAAAGTTTACTGTATTGAGTCTACCTAGTTCTCCCCCTATAAGGGGTTAATGATTGCATTCACTCTTTTGCGCGATTCACAGGGCCCACGCCATACGCGTAGTCGTAGGCCTTAGCTTGGTTGAGGAATCGAGTGCAGAAAGAGCATTTATGCAACTCTTTGTAAGTGTGACCTGCTAGCCGCCTAAATGACCAATTTTTTAGAAGAGACATGTTGGTTTCTCACACTTTCCGGTTTCGGGGCGAAGAAGCTAGGTGGTGCGACTTCTTTGCTTTCATCGCGTCGGAAACCCATTTTTTTAGAAGTTGCCAAGGAAGCTTATAAAAGCCGATGAATAGAGTATGTGATATGGTCGCAAGAGTGGTCATTTTATTTGAGAAATTGGCTACAGAAAACGTGGTTCGACCTAGAAAATCGTAACTCGTAATCCGAGGGTGAGAAATCACTCCAAAAGGACATGTGGAAAGAAATTTTTCCTACCAATAAGATTCCCGATATATAGTGGAAAGTCGGGAAGGCATCGTTAGAAACTATCTTGGTAAACAGCTTTCAGATATCTTTGGTTTTTCAGTATCTTTCTTTGAGAAAGGGCTCCTTACAGGCGAGACATATTCAAGAATAGCACATAAGTTACGTACAGTCGCTCCGTACTTTATTATCATTGCAGTGAGTGATTTCAAAGACTACGATATGAAAATCAACTTGACGAATGACAATACGGATTTTTAGGCATTAAATATGTACTAGGTGTTCAATGTGTTATGAAAAAACCAAGGATAGTTTTGATTTCGTTCTCGAACACCTGTGATACACTGCATTTCTCTGTGTAGGTTCATCGTTACGGACTATAGAGCTGTGGTGGAGGTTCGTCTCCATCTTATAGCACTTATGAGAGGAAAATGTTATTGCGAGTGACCTAGTAAAAGTTCTGTTAAAAGCGTTACACTGCAAAACTACAAACTTTAAGAAATATATCGCAGTTACCACAAATTTTGCTACAAGAAGCTGAGAAGTCAGCATGTCAGAAGTTGAAACAGTAAAGTCTGCTTTAAAAAAGAGACACGCGTGACTTCAACCTGCTTCAGATACCCTTCTACCTCCAGCAGTACCTGTACAAGAAGGTCACAACTAGAAAAGGGAGTTATTAACAAGAAGCTGAGAAGTCAGCATGTCAGATTATCAAGATTTCCAGCACAGGTTAAAAATCGTGCATAGCTTTCTACTGAATGAAAGAAGCCGTGGCTTTGCCAGGCAATTGGCGAA